GGCCCGGGCAGGAAACCGGGGGCCCCCAGGCCTCCCGCCTCCTGCATGGCGGGGCACCTGCTTTTGCCCCCTAGAGGAGCGGTGAGGGGAGGTGTCTCCAGAGGCCGAGGGGCTGTCCAAGGAAGCCCCCTTGACGGCACGTGGCGCAGGGACCTGGGGGATCAGGCATGTTAAGGCCACAGAATAAAAGCATCTCTCCCCCCAAAGGTGTCGGCAAGGCCTGTCTGCCTGCCTTCCTGCCTTCCTTCCTGCACCGACATCGACACACACACATACACAGATACACACACACGCACACACATGCACACACACTCATGCACACACATGCACACACACTCATGTGCACACACACGCACACACATGCACATGCACACTCATGCGCACACACGCGCACACAAACTCATACACACACACTCACGCATACACACAAACACTCACACACACACACACACACCACACACCCCGACCCTGCCCCCCCCCCCATTTTTCTTTCCATTTTTAGTGCCTTCGGCAGTCAGGGAAAATGGTTTCTGTCCCGCTTATTAAGGAAATGACCCCGACCCCCGGGGGCTGGCTGGACGAGCCCGGCTGTCTCCTCCCTGTCCTCGCTCACAGAGTCCGGGCCCTGCGCCCCCCTTTGCAAGCCGGTGTCTGATCTCTGCCAACGGGCCCTGGATGCATGGCAGAAGGCCCCAGGCCTCACCCTGGACCGGGAGCCTGCCAGGGTGTCTGGGCTCTGCTCCTCCAATTAAGGCCCATGCTGGCATCACAGTGAAGGAGAGAGTGGGATGGGCGGGGGTGCAGGGCGGGGCTCGGGGGGCTGAGCGGGGCGGTGTGTGGGCACTGTCAGGGGAGCACCCTGCGAGTTCTGGGGAGGGGTGCGCACTGCACAGGCCCCATCCACGCACCGAGGCAGGAATCAGCCCCTGGAATGAGGGCCGGCCGGCCGGGCTCCATTTTCCCCAGAAGGAGTGTCTCGCTCGGGAGCTCGGGATGCCCAGGATGCCCAGGACTGTGAGTGGGCACACCCCGGACGTTTCCAGGAGACCTGCCAAGGGGCAAGTCACTTTCCCCAGCGGCCACTGCGTAGATCTATTCCCCCCCCCCCACCAGCTTCCATGCAGCAGCGGCGCCCCCTGCTGGAAGGACGAGGCAGCACAGCCTCTGCCTCCCTGGCTGCTCCCAGCCCAGCCCTTCTGGGGCTCCTGGACCAGTGACTCTCACCCTGCCTGCTCTGGGGCCAAGCCCCACGACTCACTGTCCCCTCCTCGGCGGTCTCCCTGACCTCTCTGGCCCCCAGAGAGAGCCTTCCCAGTAGGAAAAAATACTTCGTTTTCCCCCTGGGGCTTACCCACACGACTGTCCACCCCACTGGGCTTAGCCGACAGCCTCGTGCCCACTGGGCTCCTGGGCGCTATGGCTGAAGCAGGATTGGCGCATGTCAGAGTGAGCACAGGTGGGCAGGGGTCAGAGGGCAGCAGGCTAGGGAGTCCAGCTCAGACTCTTGCCTCTGTATGAAGGTGCAGCGCCCGCCTGGTTGTGCTCCCAGGGGCCCTGCCCTGCTGCCAACAGCACCCCTCCATCCAGGGGCACCAGCAGCCTTGCCCACAGAGGGGGTAGTGGGGGTGGGGGTCCCCCCAAGGAGCATCATCAGATCTTAAGCTCCATGGGTGCTCCTGGCCTCACCCCCTCTCCCCTCCCCGCTGCTGTGTTCTGCAGAGAGGGGGCCTGCACGCTGACATCTGCCTGCTGTGTCCCAAGAACACAAGAGTCGGGGGCTGACTCCTCTCCTGACCCCCCCACTCACCTCCTCACGGCCACCCCAGAGACCACAGAGGGCAGAGCCCAATGGGCGGTGCGCTGGCGCCCTCTAGTGGCATCAGACCACAGTGCAGCTGTGTGTCCTGGCCAGCCTCGGGGGTTCTCTACAGAGGAGCGGGCTTATCCTCAGCTATACACAGAGGGTCGGTGACAGCCTCCCAGGCATCCTTGTTTAGGGAGAGATGTGGGGGCTGCGGGACTCTGTGTTCACGGCCACACTCCCCCCCACATCCCATCACTATGACTGCCCCTGTCCCCCCAAACACGCACCAGCTGCCCCCTGGGTCAGGGTTCCAGGCTCTCCGTATGTCCGGGCTGTGGGCAGTGGACACCGAGAGCTGCAGGCCCGCCCAGGCAATGGAGGTCGGGTCTGGGTGGGCCGTGTCGGCAGCTGCGGGGGCTGCCCTGGGCCTGGGCCCCTGGAAAGAGCATGGGGTGGGTGTCCTACTGACCCCCAGTTTGGGACTGCTGTAGGCAAACAGATAGGGAAGATGCCAGGGCAATGGAATTCCTGGGATGTACTAACACCAACAGCCAAGGCTGCAAAGAGCCCACCTTGTGAGGCCTGATGGGACCCTCACCCAGAGAAGGCTGGACGCCCCCGCCTTCAGCCCCCCACCCCAGGAGAAGCTGCAGCAGGAACAAAAGGCCAGGAAAGGACTTCCAAGGAAGACCCCCTGATCACTCCCAACTCTACCCCCTTGGCAACCTCCCTAGCAACGGACCTTGACCTAGGTTCAAGCCCCAGGTGGGGCAGGTTGGGGAAAGCCTGTCAAAGCCACCCTGGACAAAGGAAGTGTGAGCATACACTGCTCCAGCCCATGTGCTGCTAGCATCTCCCTTCTTGAGATGTGTGCTTTCAGGCTTCCATATCTAATGGTGGGGCGTGTGTAGAGGCTCTCTCCGCCCTTGGAGAAGCCCTCATTCTCTCTTGAGTGCGTTACTCTCTCTCTCTCTTTTCCTCCTCTTTCTCTCACTTTCCCTCCCTCCTTCTCCTTCCTAAAAACCTCCAAATAAAATCTGTTTAACTTCACTGCCCGTCTACTCCTGAAATTCTTTTCTGTAAGGTGCGACAAAAACCCAGAAACCCTGGGTGAGGCTTAGGGCTGACTTTCCTTTCCTGCAAAGAGCAAATCCTCACTCCCATCTGGGCCCATTGGCTGCCAGAGAAATCGGGTGATGGGACCAACTCCCATAACCCGAAGACTAAGCGACATCAGCTGTAGCTTGACGGCCACCTGGTGAGGCTGGTGGCAGGGCTCTGGCCTGTGCCCTGCAGGGGCTCATCAGATTTTCTCAGTGCGAGTCTTCCTGATGGCCTCAGGGTGGCAGGGACGGATTGGGAGCAAGTGACGGTCTTTCTCCCCCTCGCCTCCCTTAAGTCACCTGTGGGGGCCCACTGACTTAAGGATCACTGGGGATGAGACCCCAACTGCCCCAACCGTCTCCACCTCACATCCTGTTAAGAGAACACACCCAAGGGGCTGTAGAGATAGCTCAGTGGGTAGGGCTCTTGCCTTGCAGATAGCTGATCCGGGTTCAACGCTGGGCACTCAATGTGCAGGAGTGATTCTTGAGTGCAGAGCTGGGAGTGAAGAGCCCTGGGCACCACCAGGGGTGGCCCCAAAAATGATGGGGGAAGGTAGGGGAGAGAGAGAGAGAGAGAGAGAGAGAGAGAGAGAGAGAGAGAGCGCAGCCTTGGGGGTGTGGGCTCCTGAGGGGCAGAGGCTGGGGCCTGAGTACTAGAAACGCCTCCCTCCTCCCTCCGGGAAGGTAACAAAACAGGAGGCCAAGGGAGATCAGCCACCCCCACATTCCACCCCGTCACCCCAGATGTCCTTTCTGCCCCCGCTTCCTGTGCAAGCCCCTCAGCGGACTGGACTTCCAGCTCACCCATTCTCTGCCTCAGGACACCTCCACACCTCCCCAAGGATTCCCTCCCAGATACACAGGGCGGGTATCCTGCCTCTGTCTCAGCCCAGCAGGCTCTGTGGGACACCCCAGCCCACGATCCGAGGCAGCCCCCAGTGCTGAGAACCAGGAACATGGCTGAAGACAGGTCTAGAGGGGCAGGGGCTGAGAACAGGGAGCCCTGGGGCGATGTGGGCCTGAGAAATCAGCCGAGTTTGGGTGACGAAACCGCGGGCCCAAGGAAAGCCCAGCACGAAGGGGTTTATGGAAACGTTGGGCGTGGCTGAGGCCCCTCGAGAAAGCCCCCGTGCTCACACCATGAGCCACACCCACCTCAGGCCTGACCCACAGTGCGACGTCTGGGATGAGGACACAGAGGCCTCAGCACGCCTGTGGCAGACAGACAGACGGACGGACAGACAAGAGGGACGGACAGTCCACCCAGGCCTCTGCTTGCCCTAGGATGTGGTCCAGGAGGAGACCCAGAGGGGACTCAGGTGGGCCAAGACCCCTTGTCCCCAGCAACAGCCCCATACACAGGAGGGTCTATCCCGCCCACCGCCTGACCAAGCCCCCCACCTCTGGCTCCAGGGAGCTGCCCCTCGTCTTCAGTGACCCCTGGCATAGACACGGATGCTCTCGTCATCTGACAGGGGAGGAAACTGAGGCAGAGGGGAGGCTCCGTCCGGGAGGGCCAGGTGGTGGGAAGTCTGGGTCCAGATGCCAAATGCTTCACCCCACGCTCTGCAGCCGCCTCCAGCAGGGACCCTCCACCCCCTCCCAGTAGCACCATAGACCTTCTGCTCAGCCAGCAGGGAGGGCGCCCCCCGTCCATCAGGTAGAATCTGGTTCCTTTTGGGGTGGGAGCATCACCAAAGAGCCCTCAGCAGACACCCAGAGCCACAGGCCACGGCTCAAGAAATGTCCAGGCCACGGCACAGGCCGCAGCACAGGGCATGACTCAGGCCACGGCACAGGGCACGGCTCAGGCCACAGCATAGGCCACGACTCAGACCACAGCACGGGCCACGGCACAGAGCCCAGTCCATGCTACTAACCACGGCACAGGTCCAACACAGACTGTAGCACTTTTCAAAGGTCCGAGAGTAGCATGGACCACCCCGGCCACCCAGTCCCCATGGCGCCTGCCCCACCCACAGAGAACAGAGAGTGTGGGGGTGGGTGGGTGGGGCGTGCATTCCTCCACACCAGAGCCCAGGCCGAGGTCAGACCCAGAGCGGGGAGGCTAGATGCCACCCGGAGCCTACCTGCCAGGCCGGGAGGACCTTCTCGATGTCGTTCAGGTTGATCCCGTCCCCGTCTTCCAGCTTCCCCTTGCCACAGCTGCGCCGAAGAGAGAAAGGTCAAGAAAGGTCAGAGCCCTGGGAACTGACAGCTGCCCTGTCCCCGCTGGTGTAGATCCCTCTGACCTCTGCCCTCGGCCACCCCCTCTGCCTACCCCCTTCTCTGCCCAGCCACACAGGCCCCGCCCTGGTCACTCTGCAGAATGGGATGTGGTGACATCCACTTGCAGGGAGGGGCAGGCACGAACGTCCCCTGTGGCTCAGCCAGACGAAGGCACAATGCCCGTGTCCATCTCCGTGTGTGTGTGTGTGTGTGTGTGTGTGTGTGTGTATGTATGTGGGAACACCCAGCAGTGCTCAGGTGCTATTACTCCTGGACCTGCACCCAGAGGTCCTGCATCGAGTCTGCACTCAGCCTCCGGGGCTGTCCCGGTCAGTAAGCCTCCCACAGACGTCACTGGCCTTCCCCAGAGTATCCACGTTCCACAGACCAACACCCAGCGGCGCTCAGGGCTCGCTCCTTGAGGGCTCGGGGACCACGCGAGGTGCCGGGCTCGACCCTGAGCTGGCAGGGTGCAAGGAAAAGTGCCCTCCCCGCTGTCCCGTCCCTCCAGACCCAGAAACCAACCTTCTACAACACCAGGCCTGACCCGGACTCGCCCACACAAGCGTGTCCCCACCCCCCTCAACCACCTCCCACAGGTCACCCGGCTCCAGCAAGTCGCCGCCGCCTCCTCCTCCTCGGGCTTGGGGCGGGGGTCAAGGTCAGACCAGCAGGCTGCTCGGGCTCTTCTGCTGCCTCCTGCTGCCAGGAGCTTCCCTGCAGTCCAGCCACTGCCCTGAGTCTAAAAACAGTGCAGCAACTCACGACCTCTGCACTGCTTTTAGACTTGGGAGGCCGACCGTCAGGGCCGGAACAAGCCGTGTCCCTTGGGCAGCGGGAGGCCTGGAGCGAAGCCCTCTCGCCCTGCACGGGGTTCCTGCATTTCACAGGGGCTCCTTCAGGGAGCCGAAGACTGGGGGGCCAGGAGGGGTGGAAGGGTTAACGTGTCGGTGCCAGCATGTGCACACTGCAGCATTCACTGTCCGCAACTTCATGTGTCTATGTATGTGGCCACCACTGTATGCATTTACATACATGGACACCACTGTAGTAACTGTATCCTCACACGTAGCCAGCATTGTATGAACAATGTATCTACATATGTGGTCACCACTGTATTAACTGTATGCATCCATGTACTAGGCACCCACGTACACGTCCACCACTGTGCTAACTGTGAAACCATGTACACGGCCACCACTGTATTAACTGTATGCACCCACGTACATGGCCACCACTGTGCTAACTGTATATATCCATGTAAACAGCCACCACTGTGTTAAGTGTATGCATCCACGTATACGGCCACCACTGTACTAACTGTGAATCCACGTACACAGCCACCACTGTGCTAACTGTATGCATCCACGTACACGGCCACCTCTGTATTAACTCTATGCATCCATATACACGGCCACCACTGTGCTAACTGTATGTATCCACCTACACAGCCACCACTGTACTGTGAACCCATGTACACGGCCACCACTGAGCTAACTGCATGCATCCACGTACACGGTCACCACTGTACTGTGAAACCATGTACACGGCTACCACTGTATTAACTGTATAAATCCTTGTACAAGGCATCCAAATACAAGGCCACCACTGTATTAACTGTATGTGTCCACGTATGTGGCCACCACTAGGTTAGCTGTAAGCACCCATATATGTGGCCACCTCTGGATTCCAGTGTGTGTGTGTGGGGGGGGGGACACCGCCCTCAGGAGGAAGCCCAATGTCCCAGTACAGTGGGAGGCAGCGCTGCCGGGGGGCCGGGGGCAAAGGCTGGCCTGGAGAAGTGGAGGGGGAGGTGTTTGCTGTTTCAGCAAATGCTCCTGGGAGAGCTCCTGGCTGGACCCCAGTGAACAGTGCAGAGACGGCCATGGAGCCAGGAGATGGGCCACGCTGCCCAGGAGCAGAAGAAGCCGCTCAAGGGAGCCAGTGCACGTGGTGCCATGGGGCGATTGCAGAGCTGGGAGAGCACCCAGGAGGTGCCAGCAAGGGCAATTGGGCATCAGCTGGTGCTACAGCCAGCAGGGTCAGTGCTGGTGCGGCAGAGGCGGGGCCCGGGGGGGTGGGGCCTGACAGGGCGCTGGGGAGGGATTGCTGTCAGGAGGTCAGACCCTTGGGACCCTCCCCCCCATCTGACTCGTGAGGAAACAGGGGCTGCAGATGAGAAGGGGACAAAGGTCTGGAAGGTTCCTTTTCAGGGGCCGTGTGCACGGCAGGGCCAGGTGCGCTGTGATAGCCCCCACAGTGGGTGGGTTCGGGGTGGGGGAGGGGGGGTCGTCCAGCACACGCCAGCACAGGCCCCATACCCCACGGGCCTGGCCTGGGCTCTCAGCGGGGCTGGGCAGCGGGACTCTCTACAGGACTCAGAGCTCCCTGGAGCACAGCAGCTTCACAGGGCAGAAGCTGTCACTGCCGCCACCGTCTCCAAGGCAACTGCCTTCTTTGATATCTGTCCTGCCATGGAAACTCGGGAGGCAGAAAGGTACTCCATGTCCCAGGGATGCTGGGGTTGCAGTTCCGAGCATGGCCACAAGGTGGCCACAGAGCTCTGCATCCAGGCTTGGGGGGACTGGGTGGGGCCCGTCCACCTGGTAAAGGGCCCTGGGCACCAAGAGCTTCAACCGGCCTCTGGGCGGTCACGAGTCACAAGTGCTTACGAAGTAGCGACACCCACTCTTTTGGGGTTATTTTAGGGACTGTGGTTTACAATACAATTGCTTTGTTTGTGGGGATTGTTGGAGGGGGGAACACTCGTGGCTCTGTGCTCAGGGATCACACTCCTGGAGCAGCTCAGGGACCACCTGGGGGGCCGGGGATTGAAATGGGGCTGGCCGCGTGCAAAGCGAGTGCCCTCCCTGCTGTGCAGTTGCTCGGGCCCCTTATAAAACTGTCACTGGCGGGGTTTCCTGTGTAACACGCCCAGCCCCACCGTTGGAGGGGCGTTTCCTTTGGGTGCTCCTTTGTGTGGCCTGGCGCAGACACCCAGGCACCCGAGACCCCACAGGAGGCAGCACCCTCATCTCACTCCTGCAGCCTCAGCTTCCCGCCTGGTGTCACCATCTCTGTGACAAGCCCTGAGTAAGCTGAGAGCATCGCTGGGTGTGGCCCAAAAGATGAAAAGTAGGCGGGAGCCATTGCCCAGCCCGTAGGGTGCTGGTCTTACACATGGGTGACCCGGGTTCGATCCCTGGCATGCCCATGTGGTCTCCCTAGCACCTCTAGGAGTGATCCCTGAGCAAAGAGCCGGAAGTAAGCCCCGAATACCACCAGGTGTGGCCCCAAAGCAAGACAAACAAAAAGCCCCAAACCAAAAAGTAAATAAATATATAGTTCAACAAATGACCCGGGTTCGATTCCTCCACCCCTCTCTGAGAGCCCAGCAAGTTACTGAGAGTGTTTTGCCCGCACGGCAAAGCCTGGCAAGCTCCCCGTGGCATATTCGATTTGCCAAAACCAGTAACAACAAGTCTCACAATGGTGACGTTAGTGGGCCCGCTCGAGCAAATCAATGAACAATGGGAGGACAGTGACGGTGACAGTGACAGTTCAATAAATAAACAGGGTAATTTCACATCTGTGAACTTTACATGGGGGAACACCCAGGAGAGCCTAGGGACTCCTCCCCGGGGGCTAGAAGGGGCCGGATAGCAAAACTGGGCCTCATGGCACTTGCCTTATACACGGCCAGCTCGGGTTCAATCTCCGGCACCCCAGAGGGTCCCCTGAGCCCCCCTGAGGAGTAACCCCTGAGCACAGAGCCAGGAGTCAGCCCTGGGCACGGCTGAGTGTGACCCTAAAACCCAACAAACAAGTAAAACTCCAATTGGCCGGTGCTCTGCCCCCACAGGGAGCTTCTTCCCGTACAGATGCTGGGTGAGAGGCCATCACGGGCCAGCTGGAGGGAGGGGGGTCTTCTCAGTCCCTCCATGCCCCCCTGGCCAGCTGCTGCCCCTGCAGATCCTCACGCCCAGCCCCCAGCCTTGAACCCAGACCGGGGATGCAGGCAGCTGTGTTCCAACAAGCCCCTCCGGGCCGGGGTCCAGCAGGCCTGGAGCTACTGGGGTGGTCAGGGAGGAGGCAACTGGCACAGTGGGCAGGGAGGGAGGGGTTATGCTTCATGACCAGGGTCCTCTCTGGCTGTCCACCTCGAGGGGTAGGGGGGCCCTTACCCTTCTCTGTCGATGTGAGGCAGCGGCTGCTTGGGCGCAGGCCGCAGCTTCCGGTGGAACTGGCTGAAGTCCAACTTCTCGGGTTGCAGGTCCCACGTGGCACCACTAGGGGGCGAGGGAGAGGAGTGAGGCCATTGGAGGGGGGCGCCAGGCCTTGACTGGTGGGGTGAAGACAAAGGCCCCCCCCCCCCTCGCCTGACCCCTCACACAGGGCAGGAAGCGAGCTCAGAAAGAGGCTGGCGCAAAGGGGAGCCTGTCCCAGCGCCTCCGTGAACCAGAGCCAGCGTCAGCCTGGGCCCTAACACTCAAAGTGGACAGGGCCCGGGTGGGGGAAGGCCTGGGGACTCCCTCTCCCCTCCCCCACCCGGGCATCCACCTCACCCCCCCCCCACACACACACCTCCCCTACCCTGACCCCGGGGCCTCTCTGGCCTCCAAGTGGATGCAGGTAGCCCCGAATGAAGCCTCACTCCACACTGGGGGTGCTGGAGAGAGAGACAGGGGGGCCCCAGGTCCCTGTCAGAGCCCCCACGACCACTCACTCACAGGGGCCACGGGGGTTGGAGGAAAGGCCGCGTCCCACGAGTTCTGGTCCCCTGCAGACCCCCGGCCCTGCCAGCCTGGGTGGGCCTATGGCTGTGTCTGGGGCCAGGGGAAGCGCCCAGAGGCCTCCATGTCCCCAGCCTGAGCCCCGGCTCTCCACACTGTGCCTGCATGCCGTCCCCATGTGCTGAAGAACCCAACACTCGTCAGGAACCTTCTAGAATCCGAAAACACCAACTTCCTGCCCTCACCGCCCAGCCTGCCCCTGACCTGACGACAGCACCCGGCCCCTCCCCTTGGCCTCACCCCACCTGTCCCTTCCTCTTTTCTCCCGCTCAGTGAACTCTCCCTGTGGATGCCAACCCCCCCCCCCCACCCACCCCGGAAGGACTCAGGGCTGGGCCGTCCCCAGGGGCGCTCACCTGAAGGAGTCGAAGGCGTTGGCCGCCCAGATGTCCGTGCCCAGCATGTCCAGGGAGTCTTTGCCGCCGTTCTGGAAGAGAGGGGGCGAGGGCTGGTCAGTCAGCTCAGGGGTGACCGTGTGAAGGGCTCCCTCGAGCTTGGCCCGGACAGGGTCACGAGGCCCCTGTGCCCCTTGGCCGGGCACCCGGGGTGGCGGCGGGCAGGAGGGGCACCCCCGGGGCCAACCCACAGGCCGTGCTTCTGCCCAGGCATGACCAAGGACACCGGCCCCCTGACCTGAGCCAGCCCCACCTGGCGGCTCCTCAGAGCCCAGGCCAAACCCTCCGGCGTGTCCCCGGCCTGGCGCCTCTGCCTTCACGGGCGGGGTCGCCACACTAGCTCTCCCGCTCCTGCCCCCACCCGGCACCACAGACACCCAGGGGCCCTCCGATCACTCCTCTTCCTCCTCTGAACAACAGAACCCTCAGGGCCGGCGTCCCGAGAGGCCCTTCCCCGAGTGCCCAGCGCAGACAGGATGGCAGCCACAGCCCTGCTGGGACCCTCACTGGGCAGATGGAGGAGCGGGACCCAGTTCACTCGTGGGGGGAGACACGGCCTCAAAAGCAGCCCGTCAGGACGCACATGCGACGGCACAGCCCTGAGTCCAGCGAGCACGGAGGGCAGCGAGGGAGACGGGGTGAGCCTGCACCCGCCTCACACGGGAGGCTCGGAAGGGCTGCCTGTGTGCGTGTGAGAGTGCACGTGTGTGTGTTTGTGCGAGTGTGCGTGTGTGTGCGTGGATGAGTGTGCAAGTGTGTGAGCTGTGTATGTGTTTGAGTGTGTGTGTGCGAGTGTGTATGACTGTATGAGTGTGTGAGTGTGCAAGTGTGTGAGTGTAAGCGTGCGAGTGGATGTGTGCATGAGAGTGCGAGGGTGTGAGCTGTGTATGTGTGTGTGAGTGTGAGTGTGCGAGTGTGTGCGTGTGTAAGTGTGCGAGTGGATGTGAGTGTGCACGTGAATGCGTGAGTGAGTGTGCATGTGTGTGTGTTTGAGTGTGTGCATGTGTGAGCAGGACTAGAGAGCAGGCTTGTCCTGGCTTTGCGTGTGAATGTGTCTGTGTGTTTTTCTGTGTTTCTGTAAGTGTGTATGTGTGTGCATGCGTGTCAGTGTATTTCTCTGTGTGCATGTGAATATGTCTTTCTCCGTGCACATGGGTGCTTACACACAGTATATGTGTGCTGTGTGTGTGTGTGTGTGTGTTCCCGTGTGCCTGTGTGCTTCAGTACCAAGGACAGCACCCAGCAGGGTGTGCCAGAGGGTGGCGGCAGAGCCCAGCTACCCAGAGTGTCCAGGCCTGTCCTTCTGTCACCCCCCCGTCTCTCCTGGGCCACCCGCTGGTCTTTGACTCATGACCTGGAAGAACAAAGGCCAGGGAGAGGAGGGACAATGGCCAAGCCTGTGCCCACGTCTGCTCGGTAACTGGGGCAGGAGGGGCCAGCAGCCACCTCCACGGTAGCTGAGAAGCAGAGACCCCCTCCCCACCAGGCGTGCCCAGTCCCGTGCAGAGTGAGGACCGTGCCCGGCTTGCCCAGGGCCATGCTCCATCTCCATGGACCCCGGGGCCGCCCCCCTCCTGGCCAGCAGGTGTCTGGGAGCTGGTGCCCGCTGACCGGCTTCCTGAATCTGTTACGAATCCCTCAGGTGACCTGGGGTTTCGTCAGGACTGTCGTCCGACTGAATCCCCCTCCAATCTTCTGCTCTAACTGAATCTCTATGACAGCCCTCTCTGCTGATCCCCCCAGCCCCCCCACCTAACCGCTGGTGTCCACGCGCCTCTTCCCTCAGACTGTGCTTCCAACCTCCTCTGTCAGACCTGGACTGACTGCAGACAGCACCCTCACACCTGTTGCATCTGCACCGTGGACAGGGGCCAGGCCACGCCAGTTACAGTGGACACTCGGTGGTCAGTGGCTCCATGTCCTTGTACATTCCAATCCTGGGGAGGGGGGGTGGAAAGGCTCAGTGACAAGTCTCTGTCTTGCAGTTGTGAGGCCGCGAGTTTGATTCCCGATGCCGCCCACATGCGCTGAGCATGGTGATAGAAGGAGAGATCAAAAAGTGGCCATGCACAGCTCAGGAGAAAGGGAAGTCGCCTGCAGAGGCGTGGGACACTGTGTGGGTGGGGCGGGGTCTGCCCACCAGGCTCCGGCACCCCCAAGAGCCGGCCAGCCAGTGTCCGGCACCTCCCTGCAGACAATGGGCAGTGGGCACCTTGGGGACGGGACTTGTGGTGTCTTTCAGAGCCCCGGGGAAGCAGAGGCTGCATCTCATCTAAGCACTGCAGATTTTATGACTGTCTCACTGTCCCTGTCCTCCCGTTGTTCATTGATTTGCTCGAGCGGGCCCAGTAACGTCTCCATTGTGACATTTGTCTCCATTGTGACATTGTGACATTTGGCATATTGAATACGTCACAGGTAGCTTGCCAGGTTTTGCCGTGTGGGCAAGATACTCTTGGTAGCTTGCCAGGCTCTCCGAGAGGGGCAGAGGAATCGAACTCGCGTCGGCCCTGTTGGCCACTTGCAAGGCCGCTCCAGCCCCGAGTTATTTAAATGTTAATATGGTATTCAATTGGGCTGGAGTAAAAGCACAGCGGGCAGGGCATTTGCCTTGCATGTGGCCTACCTGGGTTCGATTCAACCGCCCCTCTCCGAGAGCCTCGCAAGCTACCGAGAGCATCCCGCCCACACAGCAAAGACTTTATGACAAATTTACTTATTTGTTTTGGCCAGAAAGTGGGGATATGACCATCGTGCAAAGCTTATTAAAAAAATGGGCTTAGGGGCTGGAGCAATAGCACAGTAGGTAAGGCATTTGCCTTGCACGTGTCCGACCTGGGTTTGATTCCCAGCATCCCATATGGTCCCCTGAGCACCACCAGGAGTGATTCCTGAGTGCACGAGCCAGGACAAACCCCTGTGCATTGCCAGGTATGACCCAAAACGCCAAAAAAAAGGGGCTTACATTATGAAAAATGAAGTCATGAAATTTGCTTCCAAATGAATGAACCTGGAGAGTACCAGGCGGAGTGAACTGAGTCAGGAGGAGAGGGACAGGCACAGAATGACTGCACTCATTTGCGGGATATTAAAAGAAAATAAATACATAGATAGTATGAGACTCGTCCCCAAGGCCAGGAGGTCTGGTCAATGCTTGGAAGCTTGCCACAAGAGTGTATGTGGGGCAAAGGGCAGTGAGGAGAGAGAAGGAACCAGGTGACAATAATAGATGGAAATGATCATTTTGGACAGGAAGTGAATGCTGAGAGTTAGGTAATGGGATACACCTGATAACCTTTCAGTATCTGTATTGCAAACTATAAGGCCCAAAATGGGAGAGAGAGAGAGAGAGAGAGAGAGAGAGAGAGATTGCCATAGAGGCAGGGAGTGGGGACAGGAGGGAAAACTGGGGACATTGATGGAAGTGTACACTGGTACACAACCCCTGTGCCAGCCTGTCCTCACCGGGGCCCCTTGGAGGGGGCGGGTTGAGTTTCCCTCCCCGACCCGACCACAGCCCCGGCATCCGAAGACTTCCGGAACCAGCCACAACCATGCTGAGACCACTCTCCACACGCATGAAGGTACCGGCAGAGGAACAAAGGCATGCGGGTCCCGGGGCTGAGATTTCCAAGTCTGCTCGGATCGGGGCTGAGCATCCTCCACCCAGATCCCTCATCTTCCAGTAGGTGGGAGTCACACCCACCAACTGCACCCCCCGTGCCATGTAATCCCATCAACAGCCAAGACCCAGAAACTGTAAAACCCAGCTCCCAGAAGCATGCAGCCGCATTTGCGGCCACGCGACATCTTATTATCTCATTCTTGCTTTGGACAACCTGGCAGGCTACCAAATGTAACCTGCCCACATGGCAGAGTCTGGCAAACTCCCCGTGGCGCACCCAATATGCCTAATACCAGTAACAATGATGGGTCTCATTCTTCTAACCCTGAAAGAGCCTTGATGGTGGCACTTTTTAGAATCTCAGAACTAGGACAAAGGAGACGTTACTGGTGCCTGCTCAAGGCAATCAACGAACAGGATGATCGTGATCCTGATGGTACACTGAAGGAGGGACGAGTGTTGGAACATTATATGACTGAAACCCAATCACAAACAACTTTGTAACTGTGTACTTAATTTCATTTCATTTCATTTTCATCATCCTGTTATTCGTCGATTGCCTCGAGCAGGCCCCAGTAACGTCTCTTTCATCCTAGCCCTGAGATTATATTCAAGGCTCTTTAGGAGAATGAGATCCATCATTGTGTACTTAATGGTGATTCAATTAAAAAAAATAAATAATTTAAAAAAACATTGGGCTCAAATTGCTTTAAATTGCCCTTTTTTCTCCCCCCCAGGAAGCCACACCCAGTGCACTAAGGGACCACCCCTGGCGGGCTTGTATCAGGTTGGCCACGTCCAGGGCAAGCACCCTACCCACTGAGCTACGGTTCCGGCCCTGACACCATCTATCACTAACCCATCCTCAATGCAGGGACACGCAAGGCAGCAGGCCCGAGCCAGCAGCTTAAAGCCCGCAGGTTGACCCACGAACTGGAGGAACCGCTTCGTGCATGAACGCCGGCTGGCAGAGGTGCAGGTGAGTCCCGGCCGTGCGTGTATGGGGGCAGGGCGGGTGCCTGTGTGGGGGAGGTGGAGGGGGTGACCGGGGGTGGGGGGTGGGGGGTGGGGGGCAACGGCTCCCGCCTTTGGGGCCTGGAAGGCCACCCTGGGAGCTGTGTGCTGCAAAGGTCATCTCCCTGGCCGCCCCCGCGACCCCCCATGGCCCGGTCACCAGGACAATGCAGAGAGTGGACGCTCTACTGGATGGCTATTTGGACGGTCCTATGACGTTGCCTGGCCTCGTTCTGTCCAGCAGAGGGCGCCAGAGGATGGCTGCTTGTGGACAGGGGCCATGGGGGGGTCTTGGAGCAGGACAAGTGGGGGAAGGGGAGCAGAGAAGAGGGTTCTAGAAGGCAGCCTCCCACCCGCCTCCCTCAGGGGGAGTGGAGACGGTTCTTGGGGCACAAGCAGAGCCGGGGCAACCTGCTCAGGCAGCAGCTGTGACTCTGTCAAACTCTTCCCGGAAGGTTCCAACAGGAGGCGGAGGCCTCCCTCAGCCCCTGACCCCCTGCGGAGCCAGTGGGTGAGCAGAGGGCAGCTGGGGGTTCTGATCCCCCCTCTGCCCGCATCTCCCAGCTACTCCAGCCTGGGTGGGGCTGGGAGGGGGAGTCAGGTCCCCCACTGTGGCCTAGGGGCAACCCTGTCTGCAGGCCCCCCCAGGGGACTGCACCAAGCCTGTAGATTCCTCTCCCTGCTCCCCCTTGGTGGAGATGCAGCCCCACCCCCCTCCTCTCCTCTCCCAAGCCTTAAACCGTCTCCCCTAGGATTGGAGCTCTGGGGTCAGAGAGATGGTCCAGACGTATAAACGCTTGCCCTGCACACAGCCCACCTGGGTTCACTCCCACCCCTCTATAGGTTCCTGCAAACCCTGAGAGGAGTGAGCTCTGAGCACAGAGCTAGGAGTGAGCCCTGAGCACTGAGCTGGGAGTGAGCTCTGAGCAGAGCCAGGAGTCAGCCCTGAGCACAGTCAGGAGTGATTCCTGAGCACAGAGCCAGGAGTGATCCCTGAGCACAGAGTCAGGAGTGATTCCTGAGCACAGAGCCAGGCGTGAGCGATCCCTGAGCACAGAGTCAGGAGTGATTCCTGAGCACAGAACCAGGCGTGAGCGATCCCTGAGCACAGAACCAAGAGTGATTCCTGAGCACAGAGCCAGGCGTGAGCCCTGAGCACAGAGCCGGGAGTCGGCCCTTGGTATCTCCAGGTGTAGCCTAAACATAAAAACATGACAAAGAAACGAGTTTCTGCTAGAAGGGAACCAAGCACGTGTGTTTCGGGCAGAGGCAGCCCCTCTGCCTCCCCCCATGCCCTGCCCTGCCCACATCACCCAGCTCTGCAGAGCTGGCACCGGTCGCTCCCGACATCACGACAGACAGAAGAGGCCCCAGCCCTGCCCCGCCCGAGCCACCCGTACCTGCTGCGGAGGGTGGCGTCCTTGGGGAAAGGCTCGGCCCCTGTCCAGCTGCTCGCTGCAGTCCGCTGTCCACTGCAGGGGAGAGAGAAGCGTCAGCACCGCATTGGACCCCAGGTGCCCCCAACCCTGCCCTGCCTGCAGGTCCCAAAGCCCACCTTCAGGTGACCCTTTGGGCTGAGTGTGTGACCTGTTCTCCGCCTCCCCACCCCCACCCAGCCCCAGGTCACTGAGGTGACCCAGGCCTTTCAAGGACAAGAGCACTGGTGTGGTCCCTTCGTTCTCACTCTCTGGCCTGGCCCCGGTCACAATGAGTGTGTCCTGGGGCTGAGGCTGGAGCTGGCGATGGGCAGTGTGTGTGGGTCCACCCTGTCTTCTGAGGGACACGCGGGCAGCAGCCACCACTCAGCCCACGGTGGACCACCCTGTCCCAGGGACCCACACTCCAGGAAGGGCTGCGCAGAGCCCAGGGGGCCCCTGCACCCTGTCTCCGCTGTTGTCTATGGGACAGGCCAGTGAGGCTGGACCCGGCTAACCACGCTCGGCCCGGAGGTGTCTGCAGGATGGCCACACTAGCGGGCCTGGGCAAGCGAGGGAGCCGGGTACCCGACTGGCTCCACCCTGGACGCCACGGACGCGCCTACTCACAACTGCCACCCACTGTGGGTCAAGGGACCCTGTCCAGGGGGCACCTGGCCAGCCCCCTGCAATGCAACGCTCAGGGGTTATTCCAGGTCCCTGCTCAGGAGTGACCCCTGGTGGTACTGCGGGACCATGCGCGGGGCTGGGACTGGAACCAGGGCTGAGGCAGGTCGATGTCGGCCAGGCCTGGCCTCAGTCCCTGGCCCCGCCCCCGGCCTCAGCCCCTGGCCCCGCCCCTGGCCTCAGTCCCTGGCCCCGCCCCCGCCCCGCCTCAGCCCCTGGCCCCGCCCCCGGCCCCTCCCCCGCCTGAGAGTCTTCATGGGCCTGTGCCCGTGACACTGGGCAGTGCAGCTCCATGGCAAAGGTGGGCTGGAAGTCCTGGGCGGGTGCTCCCCCAAGATTCATTTCCTGACCCGCCTGCTCCACACTGGGAGGGGCCTAAGTACCCCCCTTCAGACGAGCCTTGCAGAGCCCACGCCAGCTTCCAGATGGTCCCACCCCACAGGAGAGCTCCCCATCCTTGCGGGGACCTTAACTGGCACGCTAGCCCTCCCCGCTGTGCATGACCCAGCCTGGGCTCTGGCCCTTCCCATCCTCTCCCCTCCCCTGCCCTTCCACTCTCCCCTCCCCCATAGAGGAAACTTCCAGAAGCTCAGCTTAGGGCTAGATAGCACAGTGGGTAGGACATTTGCCTCGCATGTGGCCAACCCAGGTTGGATCCCCGGCATCCCCTGTGGTCCCCTGGAGTGACTTCTGAATGCAGAGCCAGGAGCAAGACCTGAGCATCTTTCGGTATGGCCCAATACACAGAGAACGCTTCAGCTCCTGGGGACGAGGGACAGGCTCCACGAGGAGAGCCCGGGACAGGTGAGGCACTGCAGACAGCCCAACAGGAACAGAGGGGACAGCACAGGACAGCCCAGCAGGACAGAGGGGACAGCACCGGATACTCAGCAGGACAGAGGGGACAGCATGAACTGATCAGCCTGAGCAGAGGATGGAAAATGGACTAGTTCTGTCATGAGCTGAGGCAAGCAAGACGGCCAAACCCACAGAAACCTGCAGCCGTGTGTGTGTGTGTGTGCATGTGTGTGTGCGTGTATTTGTGTGCGTGTGTATAAGTGTGTGTGTATGTGTGCATCATGTATGTGTGTGTGCGTATGTGCGTGCAAGCATGTGTGTGTGTGCGCACGTGTGTATGTGTGTGTGTGCGTATGCGTGTGTGTGTGTGGGGGGGGGAGTTGGATTTCCACAGTCACACATGCTCAAAACCACCAAACAGGAAATCACATTAAATGAACAAGCAAGCTAAACAACTGTAAGTCTGCTAAAAGTGCAGTTTTGTAAATGAACATGCAGAATGGTATTTGCTTTTGTTCTAGAATTACGGTGAACTGTCTTTTCTGACAGTCTCTGTTTTCCCCATTGGTGCCTTATGAGCAAAATGAACATTTAACCTATTTTTAAAAAATGACTGGGAAGGGGCTGAAGCAATAGAACAGCGGGTAGGGCATTCGCCTGGTACATGGCCAACCCGGGTTCGATTCCCAGCATCCCATATGGCTCCCCGAGCACGGCCAGGAGTAATTCGTGAGTGCAAAATCAGGAGTAACCCCTGTGCATGGCCGGGTGTGACCTGAAAAGAAAAAAAAAAGCCTGGGAATCAGATCTACAAGGGCTAACTAAACCTCCCTCGAAATCAAGACAATGCAAAGCAAAGGGGCAAGAGGACGTTGGTGGCTGCACCCGGGGGCCGTGTGGGCATGGAGCGACCATTGTACAGCGTGTTTGGGCAGTGTGACTAGACTTGCTTCACCGTGTCGGGATCTACCCACAGACGGGAGACACAGCCATCGACACTCCCTCAAGAGCTTGGTGATCTTGGGGAAGTCTGGAAGAGACCCACAGACTGACCATCCTCCGGGAACGGCGGGCCGGGTGTGCCGAGTGATGTGGCACAGTTCGCTCCTCTGTCCACTGTCAAACGCCGTGGACCACGCAGCATCATTAAGCAGCAGATGGACAGGCCTGGACGCGGGCCAAGAACATCCCGTGAGGAGGAACGTGCCAGCGGCTGATGCTCAACATAGGCAGAGCCAGTGACAGGGAGTTTTGAAATGATCCATGTTGACGACTTATGAATATGCCGGGGGATGGCGTGAAAGGCCGGGAAGTGGCCTCGCCAAGCCTAGGGCAGGGCGAGAGGCGCTGAAGGCTGAGATGGGAGGAAGGAGGTGTAGTTCCCGAAGCCTGAGTTCAGAGGTGCCGTGAGAATGTGTGCGTGTGGCCCTTGTGTAATTAAAAAGTAAAAGGCGTGGGGGCTGGGGAGAGAGCTAGAAAGGCCACAGAGTGATCTGCAAGCAGGAGGCAGGGTACAATTCCCAGCACTGCATGGTCCCCCCACACCCGAGCCAGGACTAGCCCAGAGCACTGCTGGACGTGCAGAGCCCCAGCTATGGTCTTCTGCACTGGGCTCCCTGCATTCATGAGCCACAGACAGGGGTGCCCTGAGCCTGGCAGGACATGGCCTCAAACCAAAAAAATAAAACAAGTAGCAAACAGCAAGGCCCTCCTGTGGCTTGTAGATGTCAGTGATTTGGGCATCAGGGTTGTGGGTATCAGGGATGTGGGTATCAGATTGCGGGTATCGAGGTTGTGGGTATCCGGGTTGTGTGTATCGGGGTTGTGGGTATCGGGGTTGTGGGTATCAGAGTTGTGAGTATCAGAGTTGTGGGTATCAGGGTTGGAGTTGTGGGTATTGGGGTTGTGGGTATCGAGGTTGTGGGTATGAGATTGTGGGTATTGGGGTTATGGGTATCAGGGTTGTGTGAATACGGAGTTGTGTGTATTGGAGTTGTGGGTAGCGGGGTTGTGGGTGTCGGAATTGTGGGTATCAGAGTTGTGGGTATCAAAGTTGTGGGTATCGAGATTGGAATTGTGGGTATCGGGGTTGTGAGTATCGGGGTTGTAGGTAACGGAGTTGTGGGTATCGGGGCTGTGGGTATCAGAGTTGTGGGTATCGGGGTTGTGGGTATCAGGGTTATAGGCATTGGAGTTGTGGGTATCAGGGTTGTGGGTATCAAAGTTGTGGGTATTAGTGTTGCAGTTGTGGGTATTGGGGTTGTGGGTATCGGGGTTGTGGGTATCAGATTGTGGGTATTGGGGTTATGGGTATCAGGGTTGTGTGTATTGGAGTTGTGGGTATCAGGGTTGTGGGTATCGGGGTTGTGGATTTCAGGGTTGTAGGTGTCAGGGTGGTGGGTGTGGGAATTGTGGGTATTGGGGTTGTGGGTATCGGAATTGTAGGTATCGGGTTGTGGGTACCGGGGTTGTGGGTATCGGGTTGTGGGTATCGGGGTTGTGGGTATCGGGGTTGAAGGTATCAGGGTTGTGGGTGTCGGAATTGTAGGTATCAAGATTGTGGGTATTGGGTTGTGGGTATCGGGGTTGTAGGTATCAGGGTTGTGGGTGTCGGAATTGTAGGTATCAAGATTGTGGGTATTGGGTTGTGGGTATTGGGGTTGTAGGTATAAGGGTTGTGGGTGTCGAAATTATGGGTATCGGGGTTGTGGGTATCGGAATTGTGGGTATCGGGTTGTGTGTACCGGGGTTGTGGGTATCGGGGTTGTGGGTATCGGGGTTGTAGGTATCAGGTTTGTGGGTGTCAGAATTGTGGGTAACAGGGTTGTGGGTATCGGGGTTGTGGATTTCAGGGTTGTAGGTATCAGGGTTGTGAGTGTCGGAATTGTGGGTATTGGGGTTGTGGATATGGGGTTGTAGGTATCAGGGTTGTGGGTATCGGAATTGTGGGTATCAGGGTTGCGGGTATCAAAATTGTGGGTATAGGGTTTGTGGGTATCGAGGTTGTAGGTATCAGGGTTGTGGGTGTGGGAATTGTGGGTATCGGGGTTGTGGGTATCGGAATTGTAGGTATCGGGTTGTGTGTACCAGGGTTGTGGGTATCAGGTTGTGGGTATCAGGGTTGTGGGTATCGATTTGTGTGTACCGGGGTTGTGGGTATTGGAGTTGTGGGTATTGGAGTTGTAGGTATCAGGTTTGTGGGTGTCGGAATTGTGGGTATCACGGTTGTGGGTATCGGGTTGTGGGTATCGGGGTTGTGGGTATCGGATTGTGTGTATAGGGGTTGTGGGTATCAGGGTTCTAGGTATCAGGGTTGTGGGTGTCGAAATTGTGGGTATCGAGGTTCTGGGTATTGGGGTTGTGGGTATCGGGTTGTGGGTATCGGGGTTGTGGGTATCAGGGTTGTGGGTATTGGGGTTGTAGGTATCAGGGTTGTGTGTGTCGGAATTGTGGGTATCGAGGTTGTGGGTATTGGGGTTGTGGTTATCGGTGTTTAGGTATCAGGGTTGTGGTTATCGGTGTTTAGGTATCAGGGTTGTGGGTGTTGGAATTATGGGTATCGGGGTGGTGGG